TACATTGCCACCCTTTAAAGGGAGGAAGTGCTCACTGGCTTTTTGCCACTGATATTTCAGGGGGAATTTCTTCTCTGCGGTTGCAATACTTATCAATGAATCTCTCCGGATAGTTGTTTCTAAGAAACACCTTCTTGAGAAAACTCATCGCTTCATTGATTGTACCCGAAGAAAAGATTCTAGCGGTTTTATTTAAAAGGTACAGAACCAAGTTTAGTTTCCTCTGCATTGGAATGAAACTAAAAAAGTGCATGTATTGTCCTTTCTGTGTGGTTTTCCGATAGATAGACCTTTGAATAGGAACATCTGCCCGCCTGCATATAAGCACATATAAGAAAGCCAGTATGTCTTTCTTCTCATGCTCGATCGTAAATTTGATCTTTACATGCACCTCGTTCATAGCTTTAAGTAGCAATCCTCCCTCTTTAGGGCATTTGACTATGGCAAAAATGTCATCCACGTATCGTCTATAGAAAGCAGATTTTCCTATGCGTTTGGCTAATTTTCGTTCAAGATTCGACATGAAAATATTCACTAGGACTTGTCCTAATGAACTGCTCAGAGCCACGCCGTCGATCTATCGATAAAACTGTCCGCTGAACAGGAACTGTACGTTCTTCGCGCACATCTGTAGTAGTTTCCGTAGTTGGCCTGGTTCCTGACATGTTTCAGCCGCATGCTAGCCAATTATTTCAATGGTTTTATTCAGTGACACGCTTGTGAACAGACTTTGCACGGCAAGTGAAATCATATGTTTATTACGTAAACTTTCATTCTTCAGCTCTTCTACGAACGAAAAGGTAGCTTTGGTCGCGTGAGCAGCAAGGTGGCATCTGATTGGTTCAATTTGTTGGACTAGCATTTGGGCAAAATTAGCCAATTATATGACGTCAAGAAATTTTGCTAATCTCGTGATATTTGCCTTGTTCAAATCTCTTCCAGGAAAACGTTTCAAATAACTCAGGGTGGCTGCTGGTGTTCTATAGGCTGCCAACAGAGGATTCTGCCAGTATTGGAGTCAAATTGAGTGCAGTGGACATGCCAGACAAAAAAGAGGCGACATTAATAACCGCAATCACTGGTAACCTTAGGGACGCAGTTGTAGGAGGGAGCTCAGGTGACCCAACAGAGACAAACAGGCACCAGATACTTGGTCACAGATAGTTGTGCATCCATCCGGTCGATCCTCCTCTATGGGTGTGAATGCTGAACTTTACGCGCTGAAAATGAGCGAAGGCTAGAGGTATTTGACCACCGCTGCCTGAGGACCATCCTACGAGTTAAGTTTACCGACTTCACCTTGAAGGAGACATTCTCCACTCGCTGTGACAGTATCGCGAGGATATCTCGGACCATTCAAGAAAGGCGACTGAGGTGGTTTGGGCACGTTCTCCGTCGTACGCCCCATGAGCTTTGTTATGCTGCCCTCGATCCGGAGCCACAGCCCACCTGGAGGCGTCGAAGAGGAGGGCAACTAAAGACTTGGCTCGACACCGTCCGCCAAGACATGGAAGCAGTTATTGGACCTTCGGTTTTCGGTCTCCGTCGCTGGAGAATAGACTAGGTGGAGCTCCCCAGATCCGCTGCCGCCAATCATAACGCGTAAGGGGTATTGTCCGTGGCAGCATTGAGGTCAGGTAGATCAGGCATGATCACAACCGTAACAAGTACAAGTAGTGCAGCTAGTTGTGAAAAGTGGACGCACAAGTAGAAGGCGCCTAATTG